TTATAATTATGTCTTTATAACCGATAACTTATTCCCCAACCAAACGATCCATTAACATATTCATTTAGATAATTTCATACATACAATTCGATGCTTTTGGAGGTTGATACATGACATCATCAAACTATTTCAAGTATTATTTTTCATATTTATCCTCGATGCATGCTACTTACACCTTCTGCCCAATATGGTCATTTATAATTTCGTATGATCTTGTATTGCAATGCGTCCATCTTAACATTTGTATTTCTACGATAATTATCTTGTGATACATTGAATTTTAATGGCCCAAAACATTTCACTCTTATATAACAATATTGGTGTTATAATTGTTCCATATATGATATAATGTACATTTCACCTTGCTAGCCATGCCTCAAGAAATAAATGATGCAATTTATACCTTTACAATCAAAAATACATCCCACGAGAGGATAAATGAGAAGACGAATAAAAATAAAGCATAAATTTTTCTCTTTCCAAAAAAAACAAAAAAAAAGGACCAAAAAATCGTTTATACCAAGTATCCCACGCTGCCTAACCCCTTTTGGCCTCATCTATCAAATGCAGTTTCAACCACAAGATCATATCTCTCGAAAATTACCAAAACAACCCTGAATGGAATATCTCAAAAGCTGGAGAAAAAAAGAAAAGAATATCTTAAGGGATAATATAGTCATTTTACATATCAAATTAAATGATCCCTGTTCTCCTCCTCTACCTTCAAATCCTCCGCCATTTCTCACACACACACTGTCGACCACTCTCTCTTTCTTTTAACTTTCTCTCTCTACCTATATATACACATATACACAGAGCTACACACACAAACAGTTACAGCGAATGGCGTTGCAAGTGCAAGTAAACGGCGTATCATTGAAGCCTTCAACGGTGCCTTCATCTTCTGCATGGAGGTCCAGCAAGCAATCAGTGGTCTGCGTTGCAGGAGATTATGGCTTTTCGCCTAGGGTTTTTAACAACAGGGGGCTGAGTTTGAAGGTGAAGTGTAGCTCCGATGCTACTGCTACTACGACTGTGACGGTAGGGCAGGTGACGGAAGTTTGTAAAGATACCTTTTGGCCTATTGTTGAAGCTGCTGGTGATAAAACTGTCGTAGTTGACATGTACACTCAGTGGTAAAATTACATATGCTCTCTCTCTCTCTCTCTCTCTCTCTCTCTCTCTCTCTCTCTCTCTCTCTCTCTCTCTCTCTCTCTCTCCCTCTCTCTCTCCCTTGTAGATTGATAAAGTTAGTGCTTAATTATGAATTTATGATTAAGTTTTTCTTGTTGTGCTCAATATTAGCGTAATCCTGATAATTCATTTCTGCCTATGTGAGCTTCATAAAGTATAGCTGGTCTAAGATAAAGATAAGGAGAAGGATTGGGGGTAATTTGACGGTTAAGGTAATAGTAATAGAGTTTAAGTTTTGTGCATTAACGGTTTAAAAAATTTCTACACAATCAGATCATTTAAAAGGTAACTGTATAACCTTTTTAATAGCATTTACACTGATGACGTAATCATTACACTGTCGGTGCATCTAACTTAAATCTATAATTATTAAGACTGGGATAAGTAGCACCCAAGGGTGTGGCGTACCGGTTAATGAAGCTAGAAGAAAACCAATGCTGAACATGGTTCGAAGTACAATAGAGATAAAAATGATAGGCAATTTATTTTCATATGCCTACTGGGGAAGACACCACCTCTGTGAGGCAGTGAAAGTATAAATGATTGATGAGAAGTTTGCCTTACTACTGTAATTTGGGAGATCGTGGAATAGGAGAACTAATTAAGCTGATATTGTTTCAGATTTCATATTAGTACTAGTTGTGGCACACGGATGTAAAAAAAAAGCTTCTTATTTGGCTGAAATAGAAACATCTCTTTTCCATTTCTTTTTACCCGTTCCATATCTTTGTTTCATGTGTTCCTGAGGAATTCGATCTCAGAATACCACCTAAATAACTACGCTAGTACGCTTAAAGAGTCAAATGGGTCGGGTAGAAAGAGTTTGGGTCGGGTCAGACATACATCTTGGTTGGTTCCACCACCACTAGAGAATCGACATATATATAACCTTTCTTCTAAAAGGGAGATTCTTATAAATCTTGTTTAAGAGATGAACCCTGTTATAGGACAATTTTGGAGAGAAAGTTATCTTCACAACCCCATTATTGGCTTAGCCTAGGTAGTGTTCTTCAATCGTTCTCTCCTTAAGTGAAGTAACCATTGATATCTATGTTGATGGATAGTTCAGAACATTTATGACCTAAGTGGAAAATGAGCCTAAGAGCAGTACAAATGGTCAAATGGCGCTTTGCTTGCCTTTCACTCTTTATGACTGTCAAAGACTATTTATTTCTTGGCTAAAGCAATTTCACTTTACACTACTATCTCTTGACCTTATGGGATGTATATGAAAATCGTATTTGGCTGTCACAGGAAGATGTTAACAGGCTGTTATGTAAGTTTCTGCTGTCACCAAAATTGTTTCTGAGATGGGACATATTCTACCTAGGTGGGTAGTTGGTACAACTGAATCTGCTCATATCCATAGCTCTATGCCTTGCAAATGAAGCTCCACCCCCTGTGCCAACCAAATACAAATATAGGGAGAGAAAACGCCAAATTAGCCCCACTATGTGGGATTATACTGGGTTTGTTGTTGTAAAACGCCAAATTAGTGCCAAATTATTTCACTATTGATCATCATGAAAGGATATCTTGTGTGTTCATCCCAAAAAAAAATGTCAGGGGCATAGAATTTGACTCACCTTTGTGCTATGAATTATCGCCTTATGGGTATCAAGTCCCATACTTTCAAGCATGTGGTCTATTCAACACTGAGTAACACAAGTTTTGATCAATACGACCATGTACGTTGAATTTTACTACAAACAGAGCAACTGTTGCAGACTAGAATGTTACAAATGGTCAAGTGATTAGAGAGGCTTTGTATGCTTTCAGATATAGGATTTGAAGAATGGTCTAAGTATTAAGGGGGTTAATCACACCCTCCTGTCATATGCATACACTGTCTCCTGTCTGATATGTCGTTACTTGATTGAATATTTCTTCTAAATTTGAACTAGTTGTTTTTGAACCTCATTTTTATTATCAATTTAATTGATAACCTTTGTCCCTATGGGAAACAGCATTCTACATGGTCTTCTCCATTTTTTCTTTGTTTTCTATCTCTTGATTTCTGATTTCAATCCACCTGCAGGTGTGGTCCTTGCAAAGTGATTGCTCCAAAGTATCAAGAGCTGTCGAAGAATTATAATGACGTGGTCTTTCTGAAGCTGGATTGCAACCAGGATAATAGGGTATGTATTCGTTAAACCCACCATTCCCTTCTAATGAACACACATACACACAGAATTGATTAATGTGATAATTTTTGGCAGCCACTAGCCAAGGAACTAGGCATAAAGGTGGTTCCAACGTTCAAGATTCTGAAGAATAATAAGGTCGTTAAAGAAGTCACTGGAGCAAAACTTGATAATTTAATAGCGGCAATTGAGGATGTGCGGTCAAGTTAATAGTATTCTTTTCTATTATTTCTTCTGCTTATTTGTTTATAACGATGCAGATGATATGTATCAATTGTCATAATTAGTTCTAACTAAATTCAGTGTATAGCCGTGGATGATGAATTTTTCGTTAGAGAAGACGGAAGTGATGTATTTTGTATGCAGCAACAAATATTGTCTTTAAATTTCACTCTGCAATGTTTTATTTTTCCTTGGTGAATAGTTAAGAAAGCTAAATACCCACATTTTCATTTCACATCCTTTCAGATAAAATAATACATAGATTATGGTATAACACATGTGGATATTAGTTATGCGGAAAAGAAATATAAGAAGCAAAAGAATCTTAAGAGAAATTAAAATAAAAGAACTGCAAATCGTTAACGATCCGTTCATCATTTTGTAACGACATTACTTTGCTTGAACGCAAAACGTTAGTAAGGGGAGTTTATGGTTCAATATAGGAGTTGCGGGTCGGGTTGGATATGGTTCGGGTCGAAGCGGATAATGAAAGAACTGATAAATTATCCGACTGACCCATATTTAATACGGATAAAAAACGGGTTAATCAGCGGATAATATGGTTAACCATATTATCCATGACTGATCACTTTTGGGAGAATTCTTAGTCTCCCCAACTTGAGGAACCTCCAATTTGAGGCTTTATAAATGTAAAAATTAGACTCATTGGTTATCCATTGGTTACTCATTGGTTATCTATTTTCTAAATGGATAATATGGTTCTTATCCATATTTGACCCGTTTTTAAAAAATTCATTATCCAATCTATTTTTTAGTGGATAATATGGGTGGTTAACTATTTTCTTTTAACCATTTTGCCACCCCTAGTCCAGTAAGAAAGAAATCGCGATCAACATGAGGAGCAAGAATATAACCAAACTACGAAGTTGAAGAAGGCTACCGTTGAAAGATTAATCTTTTAGCGACTACAACAACATCTTATCCCTACCGTGAATTTGGGGAGAGTAGATAGTACACACATCTTATCTCTACCGTGAATGTAGAGAGATTGTTTTCAGTGGACCCTCGGCACGAGAAAAAGTTATTTTAAAGCACAATTACTAAAGCACAATATTATTTTAAAACAAAAAACTCCCTAAAGTTTTCTATTGGTCCTCTCTTGAAGTATGGTTCCCTAACGTGCTGATTTTTCGTATCAGAATTTGTTGTATTGGAAGAAGGAAAGCAATCAACTTGTATCCCTATATTTTTATATGATCTCAAATATTTAAATATTACCTCGTGACTGAAAAAGGAAAAAAAAAAAAAAAGAAGAAGATGAAGAAGAGCGAAACTCCAATAATTGAGTTCGGAACCCAAAAAAAAAAATTCTTTTATTTTGCCACGTCATCTAGATTTACTGTTTCTACTCCTAAAGGGCTCCACATGCTGACTTGTCTAGATTAGGCTCTTCTAAAACTCCAAAACTATGTCGTTTTATTCACTTAGCCATTATCTCCACACTCTCTCTTTGGTTTCATCGACGCACTCTGTTTTCCTCTCTCTCTGAATATCGGCGAGCAAATGACGACGTCGTTCGGAACAACGGCGACGCCGACAACGACGGCCTCAGCTTCACCGGCAGTGTTTCCGGCCAAAAATGCCCCGAAGTCTTTAACTTTATTACCGTTCTGCCATCATCGCCGTTACAATCCTTCACGTTCCAAATTATCCTTACGGTTTGCTACAGCGCCCAAACTCCAATTCTCCTGTAAGGTATTATCGCTTTAAAAATGTATTTGTATATATTTTATGTATGCAGGTAAATAGTGGAGTGTCATGCATGAGCTATTATTTATTTGAGTTTTAAGTTATATACACCAATGCTGTGAATAAATAAGGCAGTTTATCGACTTATCGTGCAACAATGATAGTTTAAAAATTCGTTACAGTGTAGGTCGATATTAGTTAAAACTCTATTTGTTTTAGTTGGATCTGGATTCACAATTTTAAGTCAGTATATGCAGAGTACTATACAGGACCAACATGTATGACACCTCTGTATGGGTCGAAATCTGACCAAACAAGAATCTGTGTGAAGAGGAACGGCAAAGTCACTTGGGCCGAAGTCGTATTCGTACAACGCTATAGCGACAAGCACCTCGGCCACGACCGAGGTCCTGTACTCAGAATGCTAGTACGGTGAATTGGATGTTACGGCATTTCAGAGGGTCAATCTGTAATACAGTTAAATGACTTAGGTACTCTGGCTAATGACCGTGGTGTAAATGAGAATACCTAGTATATATACCAGTTGAGAGAACGAAGAAAGGGGGATCTCACAAATCACACACTTCTTCACTGACAGGGGGTGGGAATTGGAGAATCCATCTCGTAAATGAGAGAAGGTTCGAAACCTTGCTATTCATTTTCTGTAGCCATCGTTATGGAATAAATAAAGACACATCCCGTGGTCGTTAATGGTGAATCCTTTCTTTCTTCTTTATTTTACATTGTGGAGTAACGATGTCAAGAATGAATGTAAGCTCATCGTACACATTAGATTTTTTCCATTATCTTAATGAGTTCATGAGCTTAAACTTACTCAACTTTTTTTACTTAGCATTCATTGATCTAGAGTTTATTATCTTTGGCTAGGGTTTATCCTCTATCTTCTATCTTCTCATTTAATTAGTTTAATAAAAGGTCTCACACTTTTTGGTCAAACAACCTCAATCACAATCTAGTCGGGACTCTTTATGAATGTATACAATAAAGCTACCCTTCAGTTCCAAAAAAGGATTATCGGCTGTAATCGGAGGCGGAACAAGAGTTTCAGTCTTATGGGTTCTGGATTTTAGAATGACGATTCAAGTGTTAATAACTGGGTTCTAAAGTTAATACTTGTCCATATTTAATGAATTTCTTAATATAAATACACTGTTCGAGCAAAAGCTACCGGGTTCTCCCAAACCTGTAGCCGGGCTACTAGCTCCACCCCTCCTGTACTTATATAGTTAAACTCTACCTTATTTTAGTAGGAGCCACATTCACAATATTAGGTCAGTGTATGCAGAGTATCATGTACACATACAACAACAACGACCCAGTAAAATCCTATCATGTACACATACCGTTGTAAAATATACAAAAAACCATCTATTACGTCTCAATCACAAGCTAGTCGGGACTCTGTTAGTGTAGGTTTATAGTACAATAAAACTATCCTTCAGTTCCAAACTAGTTGGGGTTGGTATAAAAAGATTTTCAGCTGTACTTGGATAGTTTGAGTGGAGCTCACTGCGGAAGGATGCATTCGCCGTGGTTTTATTTATATTATCAGTATAGTTTTATTTCTTTTGGGTATTTGTTTGCTAGTCAAATCTCATCCATGAACTTTAAAAGTCAAAAGAAGTGAAATCTACAAGCTGAAATTGAAACTGTAAATAGAAAAGATACCTTATTTGTAATGCTAAATGCTATGAACAAGGTCTAGCTAGTTGATTGGAATTTAAAGGTTTCATCTTTAGTAAATTTGTATCAAGGTTTCTCTTTTTATTTCTTCTGTTACTCTCTTTTCTTCTTTGCTGTTAATATTGATGAGAGAAGAGTATTAGAAACAGTTATTACTGATTTGACCTGGGTCTACGAAGTTGGCAGAGTAAACAACAACAAAATCTATTTTGAAACTCTTTCTTGTTTTGAGAAAACCTAAGAAATTTTGGAAAACAATTAATGAACAACACTTCTACTATTGTTTCAACACTTCTGTTGCAGCAGCTCCGAATCTCAGATTTATAGTCAATGGGGTCAAAATGAGTGATACACACAGTGTGCGTAAAGCCTAATTTTTTTTTGCATATGTACTATCAGGACCCAATTTTTTTTATAAGTAAAGATTTTATTAACCCCATTGACTATCCAGACACAATTATTTTATCGACAATTTTGTATCTTCAGTAATGATAGAATTCATTTGTTTAACTTGAAAGAATCATTCATAGCCTTCCAAGGCATTAATTTGGTGGAGGAAACACCACCTCTTAAGAGCATTGGGTAGCGTTTAATTACTTTTTTGAGTGCATTTGCTTTTAAAAGTTGTTAAAAAGTAAAGGGTTTCTCTTGGAAGTTAGATCATTACAGTTGATTCTGCTGCACTTGGTGCATCTGTTAGTGAGTTCTTTTCATCTTCTTTCTTTTTCCTGGAAAATGGTGATAGATTAATATATGCTAAGAATTTGTCATATGGAAGAGTTGTTTGGCCCACCAGCCCCCGTGGCCAGATAATACCCTGTATAACTTGCCTAATGGAAGAGCCAAATTACCAAAGATGACACGTATTATTTCTGTTTACTGGTACCAGATAAAGAAGATTGTTGTGGCAATAATCTTCTTTTTTTATAGGGGTTGCAAACTAGTCGGAATCATTCAGCTGTAGTAAGAGCCCAATTGAATGAGGTAAGATTCTTTCAGTGGTTTTCATTGGAGGAAATTCTTTCAAATGTTGTGTCATTTGTGAAAAACCTTTTGGAGCCATCTGTTGCCTTCAAGGTTGCTGTTGGTGGATCTTCAAATGATGCAGCTACTCCAATTACCCAGTCGGAAGAGGTGAAATCGCCAAGTGAGACTTCATCAGCAACTTCGGTATCGGAAGAATCAATATCTAACTTTATTAGCCAAGTTTCAAGCCTTGTCAAGTAAGTGCTCCCATTTGTTTCTTACTTCTCTACAGAGACTTTTCATGAATAGTCATGACAGACTGTCCTTTGTGCAGGCTAGTTGATTCTAGGGATGTTGTGGAGCTGCATTTAAAACAGCTTGATTGTGAAATTTTAATCCGTAAGAAGGAGGCACTACCACAACCACCGCCTCCTGCCCCTGCACACACCCCACTTCTACAATCATATCATGTTCCATCTGTACAATCTAGCCCACCTCCTGCACCTGCACCTGCTGCTCCTCCAGTTCAAATCCCTGCACCTTCTCCAGCTGCAGCAAAGCCATCTGACTCATCTGTTCCGCCACTCAAATGCCCAATGGCAGGGACATTCTATCGAAGTCCAGGACCTGGTGAACCACCATTTGTGAAGGTACTGCATGTCCGCCTTTTATGTAATGAATTCAAATATGGAAACCTCAAAAAATCAACAAAAAAAAAGGAAAAGAAAAGAAAAAGAACAAAAGGAAAAAATACAGTTAAGACAATATCAAATAAGATGCTGGTTTGATGATCTCTCTCTCTCGCTCGCTCTAATTCTTTTGGCTTGCACAATGTGCATTACGGCAGGTTGGTGACAAAGTGCAGAAGGGTCAAGTTCTTTGCATTATTGAAGCAATGAAATTGATGAATGAAATAGAGGTAATTTTTCTCTTTTTCTATTGCTATAACTTCCTTGCTTGCTGTTGCTCTCTTGTACTAATGTGGGAACTCTGTTTCATTACTTTTAACTGTTTTTTTGAGTAACATATCTGCTAATGCTTGTAAATGATGACGAAGAATTTTTGATTCTTACCTGCACAACTTTTAGAAAGGCATTCTCAGTCAAATTGAAAGCATGATTAGAAATTATTTATTCATTCATCAATGAATATTTGTCTTATAGCTAATACTTCTCAGCTGTTTAGTCCTGTGTTGAATTAAACTAGAGTCATAACACTCAAAAAGTTCTGAGACCGAGATTGCGATTGGTTTCTAATGTATAACCTGCTTTCTGCATAAACAAATAAGAGATGAGGTCTCCAAGGGGATGGCCTAGTGGTTGAGGCATGAGAGTAAATATCTGGTGATCACAGGTCTAAATCCTAACTGCAACACTTGTGTGAACCCATGCTCCTGCGGTGGTTGGTAGGATTTCCTTGGCAACTTAAACTTGTAGGCTGATCAGGCTGCCGTATGGAGTAGTGGAGGTTTGCATAAGCTGGTTTTAGACAAAGAACTTTTGATTTGCCATTGTACCATCTGTGTTTCCTTTCCAAAATGATGTCCAGTGGTTTTGCTAGAGCTTACAAATTGATAAAAGAAAAAAAAGAGAGACAATCTTAAGTATCCTTAAATTTATATGTTTCTACTCTACTAGCCCAGACCATTTCTAATATATATTGGACAAAATATCTGTTTCTGCTCTACCAAACAAACTAAGAAATTCTGCTTAGAATAATTGGATTAGTAAAATTTGTAAGGAAGATGCCGAAAGGATCCTGAGGGTTTGATCGCATGGTGCAACAAACTTAGATTTATATCCTTGTAGGTTGCTTGGAAATGCTGCATGCTTAAACTTTGTGGATCAAGTTTGGATTTTGCTGTGAAATGTACAGAATGTTTGGAAACACCTCTTTCTTCGCTTGTGAATCATCTTGTGGTTGGGATAGTAGCATTTGAATTGGTTATACCACTTGCCAGTCATTGTAGACTTGGTAACATCGAAGGATGAATTTGATCGAGGAAACATGAATCAATTGTCAAATTCTGGTCATTGGCAAGAGGTCGTACTGCTAGAGGGGTTAGAGATCAAGTGAGGTCTTCTTTTGACGAAGTTGGGTATAAGTGTATGTCTTAACTGGTCACCAAGATAATCAAGTGCGGTCTTCTTTTCAAGAAGTTGAGTGTAAGTGTATGTCTTTAGGGGTCACCAAGGTAATCTTATTTTAGGAAGTGAACAAAGTTTCTGGCAGTTATAGCTACTCAACCAATTAAGGAAGCCAATATTAGAGAAATTTAGGGGGCTTAGTGTTCCTAAGAATGGTTGGAGCTGGTGGATTTTAAAGATAAAGAGAAATATCCATCTTATGGGTCTTTAATAATTCACCACTGCCTCATTTTGAGGGGAAAATGAAACTTAAAGATTATACATGGACAGATGCTGTTCTGTGAAGAGTCATTCAGTGTTTCTTATGGTGTAACTACACTGGAAATCCCTAATTCGATATACTCCGTAGGCCTCTCGTTCTCCCTTCTCTAATATGTCGGAAGTTTTAATAACGGAAAAAAAATCAGAAGTTCTATTTCTGCGGAAATTGTTCTGCAGATAATCTTATACCTGTTTCGATAAAATGCTTCTATAATGCTCTTGGCATATCTATCAAACCCCTCCCCCCCCAAACAAGCGGCAGAGATTTCATGTTTCTATACTGTTAAAACTCCTTTCTTGGCTATGTGATGCAGTTTTATGGGAATTAATGGTAGTTATGACTCCTGTCACTATTTTACCTGAATTATCCCTCTTCATCATATTGACATAAAACACCCGTTCCTTTATATCTGATACTTGAGAGCTGATGAGAGAATGATGGCATAGAAAACCTTGCGGTAACATTTTGTTAAAGCATTTATTTGTAGTTTCGCTCAAGGACAACATCTAGGGTTGTCCGTGGAACTCCCTGATTTCCTTTTTCTGATAAAGTAATAATGTTAAAAATAGTTTGGACAAAAGAGATGCCCGTATACAAGAAGAAAACCAAAAAGTAGAAAACCTACAGAAAGGGAACACCCTGATTTTATAACTGTCCTCTTAATGTGCTTTTCTAGTTCCACCATAACAAATGTAGGATCTAAAATGGTTTTATTTCTAGTTTCTTTTAATTGTCTTGCTTTGCTTAATTTGACTGCTATGCTCTCGCTATCTCCTTCAGGCTGATCAATCAGGAACCATCATTGATATCCTTGCTGAAGATGGCAAGCCTGTCAGTGTTGATATGGTCAGTTTCTTGACTAACCTAATCCAACTATTCAGTGGTATTTCAGTTTGTCTTAACAACATGTCCTTCCTAATTCCATACTTATCTCTGTGCAGCCTCTGTTTGTCATCAAACCTTAGAATTGTTCGAGTAAGACCCAGTAAACAATAAGCAGAGAAACTTGGAAGGTGCTTTGGTTCTGTGAGATTTTGCAGTATTTCAGTTGTGATGGCATGATTACAATGAACGACAATGAGGGAGTGGATGAGCCTTGCTGAACTCATTAGGAGAATTTTATTTAACCCTGGGTTATTCTTTGACATTTTATGAATACTGGCTTACTTTTTCCCAGTCCTTTAACACATATCATGTGACGAGGTGATTAAGTAAATTAAGGATTTTGTGCAGTTGGATTAGCCGCCTCTGGCTCTCTTCATTCTGTTATCGTTTGCCTAGAAAAGAAGCGTCAAAAATTGCTTCTGGAACGCTCGTAAAACTAAAACCTTCGTAGAACAACCAACTTGTCAACTTTTCAAAAGAATTTTTAGTCAAAGTTTTTCAAAAAAGTTGTCGACACGGCCCCAATCTCCTACAATTCTGCAGAAATCATCAGTTAAATAATTCCTCGGTTATTTACAGTTCGTTTATCTTCATTAGCTACTGCTGTACGCCCATTTAAGTACCTGTATTTTACGTGCATTATATATTTTCAAACGGCAGACAACTTTTGAACACAATGAGAGAAGCCGTTTGAGATGGTTTGGTCCTGTCCTGCAGATGCATTAGTTGATAAATGTAAAATCATGACGACTGAGGGTGTTAAAAAAGAACAATGTATACCTAATTACATGGAATGAAGTTTTTCCCGAAAGATCTACACTCTTGTAACCCATGCAACACTTCACAAGAATAGAGCAAAATGGAAGAATTCTATTTAAGTAATCATAATTACTTAGAAATATATTCTAGTTATGTTAGTACTTTTAGGAAGGTTTGGAGGTCAAGCATTAGGGTTGTAGGTTAGGGGGTAGTAGAGCTTTCCTTACTTCATACCCGAGGTGAGGCGGGGTTGGATTAGGGTTGATCTTAGATGGCTTGCAGTTTATGTTGAGTCCACACTATACTTGCTGTTTATCTTAGCTCCGGGCCTTAGATACTGGTTACTGTTATTGCATGTCATTTATCTTTTGGTTGTTATGCTTCTGTTACTATTACGGTTTCTACTGGAGTTACTAATGAATTGTCTTTTCTTGTTTTTATTTCCGTCTTTCTGAGCCGAGGGTCTATCGGAAACAACCTCTCTGCCCTATCAGGGTAGGTGTAAGGTCTACGTACACATTACCCTCCCCAGACCCCACTTTGTGGGATTTTACTGGGTAGTTGTTGTTGTTGTTGTTATGTTAGTACTTTTGTAATAGGTAATATGCTTTCTAGGGGTCTTTTGGTCCTATAAAAAATTTATGCTCGAGTAGAAAATATATAGAACTTCTAATATTTTTATTTATTGTGTAATATATACCTGGGATGGAACTTAAGTGAAGCTACATGATCCAAAAATTCACATGGCCAATCAAAATGTATTTGGAATTGTGGCGTAGTTGGTGGTAAAAAACAAAAATTGATTAATACAATTTATATAGGTTTGTCCAAATGAAGCATAAATACTGTTCACCCGTTATCTTCCCGTACTGTTATTCTTCATTGTTAGTATATATTATCACATCACAACTTACAAACAAAAACACAAAAGAAGAAAATAACGAGGCCGGCTACCCGTGGTGATTTACAGTAGAAAATGAAATCCACATTGAGCTTCAGACCTGTCCCAACAACCAAACTTAAACACCGACGTTGAATTCAAACACCAACATTAACCAAGTTCAATCCTCCGATGAAAGGAACTGCTTCCCCAATACTACCATCCACCCCACCCAACCCAAACCCCGGGGGGGGGGGGGGGGGGGTGTCCCAACCCGTTCAGGAAAAAAAGCCCCTTTAAAGACGGGTAGAAGCTTCAGATGAGCGTGGAATTCAATTACTTGTGTTATATTTTAGCTTGAAAAACACTTGTCCACATCAAATACATGGTTGCACACCTCAACCATAGCCAATATACACTCTCATCTCAATTTGCCACGTGCTAAGTTTATGCAGTAAACAAGTACAAGTATTTCCAGGAACTCACTAGCCACTCGCTAATCAAGTGCAATTTACCCATCAAATACATTAGAGCCAGGAACTCACCAGCGGAGTCTCAAGAGTTTCTTTTTGGTTTTTTTGGTCGATGCTTGAATTTAAATTTCCAATGAACTATTATCTCCGTAGTGAAGGTGCAATCAGAAAGCGGTAATCAAGAATACAAAACCTTGCGTTGCCATAAAATTTAGCTGATGCACAAAACGTTACATGTAACGTTGAAGGTCAATCTCAAATTTCACCTAACACTGCAGAATCCAAAACTGACCAAATAAAGACAGCAATACATATGGCATCGTCTCCTGGATACTACAAAGTACCAAACATCCAACAAGTCGCGACACACCTTTCCAGCTCTCCATGCCACAACAGCTTTCACCTAGTAGCGGTCATATCGCCTGGAGACAGAAAAGAAACAGTTGGTGAATATCGAACCCCTATTACCAGCAGCGGGTGCTCTCACATCAAGCTAATCAAAACCCCTTCTCAAGTGCATTTTTATTATAAACTAAAGAGAAGATACCAGTGACTGCATCAAGTACCTTTATTTGCTAATATCATTATAAGTTCATTTAGGTGGAAACATGTAGTAGCTTTAAATTTCTAATTCGCATTTAGTAAACAAAAAACGCTGCAACTAAATGAAAATATGAAGCAAAAACCACTTTGATAAAGTATTTGAAATAAACAAAAACCATTTTATACTTCCTATTCAAATGAAAAAAAAAAACAATTTTAATTTTTGGATATCTAGTACAAATTAGTACTTAACAGATTTTCTAATTCTAAACCTCTAATTAAAGATTAATCTTCTTACAGTAAATTCTTAATTTTCTACTCCTAATTACTAATATATTCATACAGAATGTAATTTTAATAATCAAAAATATCACTTCATCAACTATATTAGTTGTTCAGTGCTGCCCTTTATAAGACGAAGCCCATGTGCCTCAGCACTAAGCCTAAGTTGTTACGGCTTAAGCATGTCTCATGCGAGCCTTTAGCAACACTGATTATAAGCACTAATGTAAAGGGACATTTAAGATTCCAGTACTGAAAAATAATTGGGGCTAAATCTACGACAGTGCCTTCCCCCAAAAATTTCACCAGATTAGGGAAGGTATGGGGCAAATAACCCAACATCCTTAGTAAATCACCTTCACTAATCAGTAGCCCTCCGCAAAGAATTGGAAGCTACTCATCATACGGTACATGACAACCTCACATCTTTAAGTCCACACAAAATAAAACTATATATAACGCAATCAGCTTAGTGGAAAAAATTAGAACCTGTGGCGATCATAATCCCTTGACCGTTCTCTTGACCGTGAACGCGATCGCCTATGGCTTCTTGAATCATAGTTGCGAGAGCGGTCTCTATTTCTGTCACGCTCACGATCATAGCTGCGATCTTTACTCCTGTGATCGTGATCTCTCCCTGCTTCGCGGCTATCAACTCTGTCCCTGCTTGATTCTCTATCACGTTCCCTGCTTTTTCTTTCTTTAGATCTGCATATAGTAAATTCAACACTTGACCACAAGATAGTAAAAGCAACAACAGATAAAGTAAAAAATGCTGAATAAGCATTTCATAATAGGAGATCCAACACTACCTCCTATCTTCTTCTATGGCCTTCCGCTTCTTGTTTCTTTCTTCCTGGCAATTTGACATCATTGAGAATTTGAGATAGCACAATTGAAGCATATAACAAACTCCCACAGATACGTCGGCGAAATTAGAATGAACACATATTCATGGAATAAACTTGCAATATACAGAATGACAAACAATGTTTTTCCCTTCTTTTATTGACGAGGTCTAGAAATTGGTCCATCAGTAAAGATATATGTATTTGATACCCGCCTAAGAGAGAATCAGTTCAATAATACTTATATAGATCGTGTGGAAACATGCACATCAGTACTTATGCTTCAGCAATGAAAAGCTGGAAGAAAAGTGTTGAAGACATAACTAAGTGAATAAAAGTGTAATCTCTCTAACAGCTTAAGCTTTTAGATGAAATGGTCACACACTTTAACATGGTATCGGAGCACGGTGAAGTAGTGAGTTCGAGTTTCACTGCCACCCATGATCAAAAGGAATTTTCACATGCTTGGCCCATGAAAAAATATAAGGCCCACACACGAGGGAGCGTATTGAAGACATAATTAAGTAAAAAAAAATATGTTCTCTGTTAGCTTGAGCATTTAGATGAGATGGTCACACTTCAACCAATAAATTCATATTTTAAATACATAAACGTCAGCAGCCGCTCTAGCATAAGAACAATAGTAGGATATACAAAGGAGTTTCTCGTAACCGTGGCCCGACACCTCTATCGTTATTGAGCCAATACTTGTTTACCCTAGTTATGGATGAGTTAACCAACACAATATAAGATGTCGTCCCTCGGCGTATGCTATTTGTTGACGATATTAACTGACGAAACCAGCAAGGGGTGTCAAAAAAGAGCTTGAATCATGGAGAAGCACATTAGAGTAAGGATTTTAGGATAAGAAGTATGAGTGAGTATATGCACCGCAACTCTAGTCAGCTTAAGAAGAGTGAAGTTGAGGTGAAATTAGACGGGATTGATGTACCTAAATGAAAACAATTCAGATATCTAGTGTTGTTTTTGCATGAGAATGTAATGATAGATGAAGACGTTACAGTACTAAAATCAGCTGGTTGAATGGAGAAATGTTACCAAATTCAGATATCTTGTTGTGATATAATGATGCCTACAAAAACGAAAGGTAAGCTCCATGGAACACTTGCAAGACCCACAATGTTATGCAAGAGAGAATGTTGGGCTAAAGTTCAACATAACCTAAGTGTCGCAAAAACGCGGACGTTAACATGGATGTGCGGTCATACTAGATCAAACAAGATTAAAAATAACTGCATCTGCCATAAGGTGCAACCGTGCAAGTAGCACAAAATGCACATTGAGGATAAAATGAGTCTTTTGAGATGGTTTGGTCAGGTCCAGTGTCGACCTCCAGATGTACCGGTCCGCAAATGTGAAACTATGATGAGTGAAAATGTTTAAAAAGTATGAGGTAGATCTAAATCAAGCAAAAAAACGCGGACGTTAACATGGATGTGCGGTCATACTAGATCAAACAAGATTAAAAATAACTGCATCTGCCATAAGGTGCAAGTAGCACAAAATGCACATTGAGGATACAATGAGAGTCTTTTGAGATGGTTTGGTCAGGTCCAGTGTCGACCTCCAGATGTACCGGTCCGCAAATGTGAAACTATGATGAGTGAAAATGTTTAAAGAGTATGAGGTAGATCTAAATCACATGGAAATGATTTTTTCTCAAAAGACCTACAATCTCTTGGTAGCCATGCTGGCCTAGCGAAAGATATGACACAATGGATAAAAAAGATCTATATAAGCGATGCCAATTAGTGGATGTGTTGTGGTCAAGTTAATATGCTTACTATAGGTCTTATGCTTTCTAGGGGTCTTTTAGGCCTCATTTGTTTTTTTAAGATCAAAACGTCTGAATCTGAATACATGTCTGAATATCAAGATGTGTATTAAGATTAAGACATCTGAATCTGAATACATATCTGAATGTTAAAATGTGTATTAAGATCCGAATACTAAATGATTAAGACTGTTTGACTTTTAACATCTGAATGTATAATATTTACCTTTATTTGAATTAAAATACTAACTAATCTAATATTCCGTCAATAAAATATATAATTTTTTAAAATATGATAGTTGCTAGTGGTGATGACTAACGGTAGTGCATGTGAATGCCGACTAAAAGCGGTGGTTGGTGGTAGATTTGGTTGATTGTGTAGTTTAGGGTAGTAGCTAGTGATGATTGGTAGTGGTAGCTATTATGTTTGAGGATGGTGGTGGTGGGTAGTGATTGTTAATAATGGCGGGTGGTGATGGTGGTAGTTGTGATTGAGGAAGATGGTGGTAGGTGGTGGTAGTTTATAATGATGGGCAGCGCCAGCTATGGTTGTTGATGGTGATGGGGCGGTTAGTTGTGGTAGTTGAGGTGGATGAGTGTGGGTTGTCGTTGAGAATGATGGTGGTGGGAGTGGTGGGGATGGTGGGTGGTGGTAGTCGACAATGGTTGTGGCTATGATTGAGGATGATGGTGGTGATGGTTGAGTATGGTGGTGGTGGGTGGCATAGTGGTAGTTGATAATGGTAGGCGGTGGCGGCAGTTAATAATGAATATGGATGATAGCATCTTAATGAAATTAAGTCTCTGTTATAGATCTTAATCATACAGACCTATTAAGACCCATTAAATGGTTGTGAAGTAAAAAAACAAACAAACTTAACGATTAAGACCTGAATGATTAAGATTCAGACTTTAAAAACAAACACACTTAATGTCTGAGATCTGAATGATTAAGATTCAGACCTCCATTAAGTGCAAACAAATGAGGCTTAGTGCTATTAGGGATTTCATGCCACTTGGGGGAAAAAAGAACTTATAGTACTTTTTATTTTGTATAATGCTAACCAGTGTTTTAAAAGGCGTGGCCGTAAGGCGAGACGTTTTACATATGCATCAGCGAGGCGTAAGCCCCGGGCACGGGGCGTAAGCCCCATGGGTATTTAATTTTAAATATTTTATAAAATAATATAATTATAATAAATATTTATACATGTAAAATTGCATAAAAATTGAAGTAATATAAATATGTGAAAAAAATATATATAGATGTGCTCTATCCCCACAAAAACTAGTCAAAACAATCTATTATACGCTACTTACAAGCACAAGTAACTTATTTCGAAAAGAATAAAGTTTTCTACATGGAGGAACAAAAAGGATGATTAACGTGCAATTTGAACTTTGAACTTGCTGCTATGAAAGAGAATGGAGTTCCCTTTGTATTTGTTAAAAAAACTTGAATATTCGTTGCTTTTGGGAGATATTAGCAGACTAGCGGACAAGATAACGAATTGGGAAAGACCATAAATTAGGGCTTCAATCAATAAAAAGGGTCTTGACTTTCAAATTTAATACATTTTAGTTCCTTTTCAAAACTTTGGTGTAATTACAAGCTGACTGCGAATTGGGTATTATATGAAGGACTTATTCAACAAATTTTGTTTTAATTTGAAAAAGTCTCTGGGACTTACGCCTCACTACAAAAATGCGCCTCAAACGACCGGGCGTACGCCTCTCGAGACTTTCACCCCAGACCATCGCCTCGGAGCATTTTTGGTGCGCCTGGCCCCAGCGCTCGCCCTGAAAACGTCTTTTAAAACACTTATGCTAACCAATGAATTAAAATGGAGAAAACATGATTAGTGAGGATTCATATTGCTGATCCTAACTTATTTGGGACTGAAGTGTAGTAGTTGTTGCTGGATTAAATATCTACTCACCTCTATGATGAGTATCTCCTTTACATAACTACTAACTCTTTCCTGCTCTCAAAGATAATCAAGTTGAAGTCACTTATTCAACTATTCTATCATGTCTCAAATTATATCCTAATATGAGTTCCATAAAAAAAAATATTTATAGTTCTAAGCACACATTTCACGTCATTATGAGGTTATATGAGAACTTATTTTCCCTATGGACCTACAAGGTCAGTAAAAGACAATAGAAACCTCTACAAAAGAAAATATCTGAGGATAGCAGAGCTCCAAAAGGGCATACATATTGAAAATTTCTACAGAAGAAACTGAAACAGCAGGACCTCAATCAAAATATTAAAATTACCAATTGAGCCACTAAAATCAAATACTTGTTTAAATTTCTAAGTAGATGACTGTTCCGCAGAAGCCACTCAATCAGAGATCATTTTATGCAACCAGATAAATGAGGAAACAAGCACAAGAATACCTTACCAACCCAAAAAAAAAAAAAAAAGTAAACAAGCACAAGTCTCGATATATATATATAACATTGAAAAAGTGTCTGTTATACTTCCAATAAATGGGCCTGCACTGCAACAAAGAAATCTTGAAAAATAGATATTCTTATCTTTACCTGAAGTTCAGCTAATTTCTCACGGATTTGCATATAACCCAAATGAAGCTTTCCTCCAAAATGATCAGCTAAGCGGCGGTCACTGAAAAGAAAAGATGAGAAAAGCAAGGATAGCTGGATATTATTAGTACGCTATCCAATTAGTTTTAAGAAACAAATATTGTAGAGATAACAAAAAATGAAGTTGCCCCATAACTTTCTAGCTAAGCATAACATGACTAATAAAATTAACACAGAAAAGACGCACATTATTTAGCGGCAAAAGTTTATCCTCGAAAAACTGGGCCCAAAAAAGCCTGCTGGTGACAAGGAGGTACAATCGCCATGTCAAAAACTGAAGCACTCAAAACTTCAAAGTAGCGCTTTATTTCCCTAAAAGCTACTTCGCATATCTTCCAAAAGCTGAAAAGGAAAAAGGAACATTCACCTGTCATAAACACTTAAAAAAGCTCCACAGATGTCGCACACACGGAGCTTTTGATCAGTCTGCAAAAGTTATAAACAGCATGTCAGAGATAGCAAATTCATGTCAAGACCACATCCTGAGATTTCTCAGCAGGAATATATGCAAGAACAGAAACAAAGAACAGTCATTTGTTATATGTGCCCACTTGAGGCCGTGATTCTAGTAACACCGTACCCAATTTAAAAAACATTTCAGTTCTATCTTTGACTTAGATACTCAAGAAATTCTTACCAGTCAGTTCATTTCAAGAAAAAGATAAGCCTTCCATTAGCATAGGGAAGTATGAAAGGAGAAGAGAACTTCTTAGTTACTATTGACTTGATTGATTAGAAATCTAAAAAGAAGCTTCTAAAATTTGCTTATTTTGAAAAGCACTTTTTTTAAAAGTGTTTTGCATAAAAATACTGCTGCAGAGAAGCTCTATATGAGGCTAATCAATTTGAAAAGCACTTTTGAGCACTAAATTCGTGTTTGACCAAGCTTTTTTCATAATGGTAACAATTGCCTTTGACCAAAAAAACATACTGACTGGAACTTCCTATCCTTATTTGGTCAATCACACTGATAGGCACTCTTAATAATCTGTAAGATCTTTTTTTTGGTTGTAATTGTGGTGTTTGGGCATCTCTACTAAATCATGATTACCTACTACCACCCAACAGCACATGTATAGAGTAACTCTATCCACCAAAGCTTAAATAGATGAGAACAAAACACATGCTTTTTTTTGCCTTAACTGGGATCTGAACCTGGCCCACGGTCCATTCCAGCTTCTTGACCACCAGGTCACACTTTTGGATGCTAAATATTTTGTAATATTTTCTTATAACAAATATTTACTAAAATATTTCTTAGTCATGTCCGATGAATCTATACATGTGTGAAACTAGACAACGTTCTCTTAATATTCAATACACCCCTCAAACTAAGAGTGAGAAAACCAACTTGAATTTTTTAGTTTGGAAATATAAAAGTTGCCATCAAAATCTCACTATATTACATAATCATCAAAAAAGTGTTAAAATTCTTTCCTCCAGAAGTCACTGGTAACAGAACAGCGCAAGTACTTTTTGCACTCGCAATGAAAAGAAGAAAATTGTAGCATATGTCCAGTACATCATCAATGTAGCTTGAAATTGGCAAAACAATGACAGAAAATAAAAATTTAGAGAAGGGCGTTGGTTGCTATAAAGAGGAGGCTGTCAAGCATTAGGCACCATAGAGAGCAAACCCATTACCCACTACCTCACCATGCTTTCAGAAAATTACTCCCTTTTCAATTTGTGTGTCGTACTTTAATTTTTAGTATGTTCCCAAAAAAATACTTCGTTTTATATTTTTAAGTTTTTAATTCCATCATTCTCATTTTATCCTTAATGATACATCCTTAGAGGAATGACATGGTATGTTTAAGACCATAAGATCCACTTGATAATTTTGGTATATTATACACACCTTTAGTTTTCAGGGTTTTTGTTGTTGTTGTTGTTGTTGTTGCTGTTGTATACACACCTATAGTTTAAGACAGCAAGATTCAAAGTCTTCAAAACTTTGTGCCTAGTCAAACTACGACACAAAATATAATGGAGAGAATAATATTTTGGCCCTTCTTTCAAGGAATCATCAGGCTAAATTTTCAAAATAAAATTGCTATTCGTTCAGATTAAATTCAGTGAAAGTACTTGCACAAACTCATAATTGAGGAGAAACAAATACAACAAATAATGCTTATCAAAGCGGTAGAAAGTAGACTTACAATCCGCACATCAACTGCAGTGTACTTTGAGGAATCCTGACCAGGGTCTTGCCTCACAGGCAGCTGAATGAGGAAGACAGGCATATCAAGGAGAGAAGTGTTAAATGAAGTCGAACTACAAGGGTAAGTTTTTTAAGCCCCAGAACAAAATTAACAAAGAAAGATAAGAAGGGCAGATTAAAATCTAAAAAGTTATATTTGAGCACAATTGAAGTACAGAAAGAACTGTTCGACAACCTTCTTGAGAGCTTCCGCCTCTTCCAATGCTTTCTGAGCTTCATCAACCATTCCTTGCTCACCTAGATAACCGAGTAAGAGGAAAAATGTAAGATAAAGCAAGAAAAGATTCAGCAAAATCGTGTCATGCTGTAACATCCTTTTTATAAATTAAGGTAACTTTGAAAGAAACAGAAAAAGTGCACCAAGGTACCAAAAAACTGTAAAAGGTATAATATTCAGCATTGAGCTTCCAAAATCTAACTCACCTATACAACAAGACATTTTTTTTTGCAAAGATAGAGCAGCTATCATAACGTAATTCTAGTGTACTACTCACTTTGAGGGTTATAAGACACATGTTCCCATCGTGCTTAAATCACTTCTAAGGCAATTTCTAATAACATAATTCCCGACTATTTCACAGTGTACCTATTACCTCCCATTAAATGTGTTTTTATCTCAAAATTGAGATCATGGATATAAGAATCATACACTGAGATTTGAAAATGATTCCCTAATGCAGAACCAAATGAACTGGAATTAGCATAGGTATATTTACAAGATTCACAGCAGAATATGGCTCCTCTGATGTCAAGGGATGATAACTATTTTCGAGCAATGATGTTTAAACACATCTTTTCAAATAACTAGTTAAAAGCACATTATTGTTCACTTTAGTCACATAATCAGCCTTCCATTTCCATAAGTATTTATTAATAATAATCTCAAGGTTGCATTTTCAAATACAGAGTCACTTTTTTTTAACAATGGGTGTCGGATAAGATAAAACCCAAACTTGGTCACTCTTTTTTCCTGATGTTACTTTCCATTTGAACTGCTCATACACTCGCATGGACATAAACCAAAATAATGAGACACTACCATATCCAGAGAGAGTCAATAGCATATCAAAGAGTGAATTCTAACTCTTTGAGTGGAAAAATTGGAGGTTGTAAAGCAACACAGTTTAGAGCTATTTAGATATTTAGATTTACCAAGATCTTCTGCTTTCTTCAGCTTCTCATTTATCATTTCTTGTATGCGAGGATCTGGAGCAGCTGCAGGCAAGGGTGCTAACTGTGGACCATTCTGAAGTGGCTGTGGTAAAGATGCTCGGTCTTTGTTAAATGCATCCAAAAGGAGCATTGACTGCCATTGGATAAAAGAAAACACCTATGAGTTTTAACCATATACACTACAGCCATTTTTTTTGATAAGGTAAATTGTATTAATCAAAAGGGAGAGAACTCCCGTATACAAGAAATATACACTACAGCCATGTGAATATTAAGTATCGCAATGTCATTAGTTTTTGCCTATGTTGACAAACTAGCAAATTAATTCAATGTGTAAACTGTGGACCATTCTGAAGTGGCTGTGGTAAAGATGCTCGGTCTTCGTTAAATGCATCCAAAAGGAGCATTGACTGCCATTGGATAAAAGAAAACACCTATGAGTTCTAACCATATACACTACAGCCATGTGAATATTAAGTGTTGCAATGTCATTAGTTTTTGCCTATGTTGACTAACTAGCAAATTAATTCAATGTGTCCAAGTTCCCCCTGTACCTGTTTGTCTGCTCTCTTAGTTCTGAGTTCTTCAACCTCTTCCAAAGCTCGAATTTTCATATCTGTCTTGCCTTCAAGATCTACAAAGAAAATAGATTGTTCAAGAACTTTGCCAACTCAAAAAGATCTTCACCAGATAGAAAATGGCATGAAATAATAGCACTTTACATTTTATTCCTCAGCAATTCAGTTCGCTCAAATTTACTAAGGCTCTTATAAACTTATGTTAGTTAAGTTTGTAAGACGCTAGGCTAGATCCCAGTATGAAACTGAACTATGTAATTAAGACAAAATGACAACAAATGTTATCATATCACCACCAATCATCAAGCCTATTTTACTCCTTTAAACTGTCCCTTGCTCAAGCAGTATATAGATTAGCGAGCCTCGCTAACTTGTCATTTTCATATATAATGAAAAAAGTAAAATATAAGCAACCTTATATTGGCAAATAGCCAATCAAGACCACATAAGCATGCTTGCCCGATGCAGACAGTCAGCTAAGCCTAAAAGAACTTTACCATTTTTTTAGATAGAAAGCCTAAAAGAGCTTACCATATACATCAGCTTCTTTCAACTTCTCCTTGATTTGCTTTGACAACTCATCAATCTCCGGTGTCTGCAATTTAGGCGAGTTGACAACACTTGTAACAAGGACTAGTAAACAGAGGAAGGGCAAAGAGGAAGTGCCAGTGACCAACAAAAGAAAACAATGAGCTTGGAGCCCGACACTTGACTATTACCAGAGTAACTTCAGATACTGATATGGCAATAGCAGCTTTGGCATCCTCCTCGTCAAGCCGTTTAAGGGCTCTAGTTATTTTCCTGTCACACTCAACAATCAGCCTATCAATTGCATCCTCCAAGTCCCTGTCATAGTTATCCTGACCCTTTTCTTTTGCTTCGACATATCTAGAAAAGGTTAAGGTAATGATCAAGAAGCAATATTGATCAAAGAATGCAGCATCTCTTGTGCATCTTTTTTTCTCTCAATAAGGACATATCTTGTACATTTCTCTTCTTTTTTTATGTTTGGGCAGATGGTTTTGGTTTTTTTTTGGGGGGAGGGGTTGAGGGGGAAGGACTGCACTGATGTACAGAAAATCCGTGTTAACAACGACCATAATATATTTCACAGACGTCTAGTTAATGACTCAGTTCAGCAACTAGGCAGGCAGTCGGCCAGCAATATTGTAATAGTTTCTATAATCATTTGACATAAAAAAAAGTAGAACAGTGATTCATTGAATTGTAAATAAGATCAAAGAAAAAGGAGAATGACAGAATATATGAAGAAACAAAATTGTATAGTTAAACAACCTGCGACAACAGCCAGCCTATCTAGCATGTATCGAGACATAAAAAAAATTCTAGTATTACTTAATAGCCCATGCATGGCTAAGATATTAATTCTTGAAGTTCTAACGGGCATGAAAACATGAATATGGAACACTTGCAAAATGATAGTATACACGTCAAAGAAAGATACTCTTTTCTCAGCTGCAAAGAGTGCACCTTAGGGCATGGCCCCATATCCATTTTCTGCACAACAAGAAAGAAATTAAAATGAAAAATCAGTGCACAAAATTTATAACCAACAAGGAAATGCAGAGGAAGGGTGTAGACCTAGAAAAAAACTGAACAACTCCGCCCTCCAGCCCATCAAGGATTTACTATTGTATATTCTTTATTTTTTAAAATAGTGAAGATACCATCTGCAGCTGACCATTTAGTACTGACTAGTTTCACCTTATCCAAAAATCATTGACTGATTTCACTTGACAAAAATTATTGCATTTAGATTAAATAAAGCTTGGTATCATATGAACAATATTGGATCATTTTCCTTTATAAGCATAGAGCATTACTGATTAAAACTTGTAGTTTCACTAGTTCACATCTTCATACTTGAACGAGTCAATTATGGTGGACAACGCTTAACCTATATGGTACCCAACGGGTAAGGACAGCTGCGGTAGATGATGTCATGTTTAGCTGGGCATTGAGATGTAGAGAAAGTAGGCCATTATATCCTTAAATCTTAATGACACTCTTTTATAGGAATGACATGCCATGCTTAAAACCACAAGATTAAAAGGTATTTTTGGTATATTATACACACCTTAGGTTTAAGACCACAAAAATCAAAAGTCTTTTTTACATTCTTAAACTCCAAGCATAAACAAACAAAGAAACACAAAATGAAGAGTCAAACTAAAATACATCAAATGGAAGGAGTATGACTTCATCAACAAAAAATTAAAAAGAAAAAACTCTAGAAGAATTTTCATTTACGATGAAATTTAACAAAATTGACCGACCTCAAACAGGAGAAGACTCGAATATTTTTAAATGCAAATAAAAAGCATCACATCTAGCCGATGGGCTCCCTACCAAATGTGTTTTGAAATATCTAAAAACTAAGGTCTTTTTAAATTTATTATTTTGACTAGTGGAGTATCAAAAATCTAAGGTCTTTAAACCGCAAAAAGCTCCCAAAGCCCATGTAATTAAAAACCCTGTGCTAAAAACGGAATAAATAGTACATACGTCTACAAACTCAGTAATTTTTATAAAGTAATAAATTTTATCAAAGATTGAGCAAAAAACATATGTATACTAGTATACCAAAAAAGAAGAAAACCTACAAAAAAGATATGATTTTATACGAACGACACCCGATCTTCTATACATAGGAAATTTCATGGGAGCACCAAAAAGACATAAAGGATGAGAAGTTACTCCTCAATCGTACAAAATTCTTCTCTACACCCTCAAGAGCTCGCATATTTCTTTCTCTCAAAAGGACACACATAAGTGCTAGTGGCGCAATACTCCACTCCCTGCATCTTCACCTCTTTCTACCATAATTTCAGTTGAACATTACCTATTTCATAGTGTCTAGCATCACCCAAAGTATGCCAAACCATCTAAGGCCTCATTTATTTGCACTTAATGGAGGTCTGAATCTTAATCATTCAGATCTCAGTCATTAAGTGCGTTTGTTTTTAAAGTCTGAATCTTAATTATTCAGATCTTAATCATTAAGTATGTTTGTTTTTTTTTACTTCACAACCACTCAATGGGTCAGAATAGGTCTGTATGATTAAGATCCATAATAGACTTAATTTCATTAAGATCTATCATCTATATCCATTATTAATTGTCGTCACCGCCTACCACCACCATCATCCTCAATCATAGCCGCCGCCATAATCGACTACCAACACCTAGGGGTGTTCATAAAAACCCGAAAAATCGAACCAAACCGAAAACCAAACCAAACCAACCAAAAAAACCGATACTTTTGGTTTGGTTTGATTTTGGTTTTGAATTTTAAAAACCGATCTAATTTGGTTTGGTTTTGGTTTTAATCAAAAAATAACCGAAAAAAACCGAACCAAACCGACTATAGGAGTAGCTATTTCAAATTTATTATTACACCTATATATATTTATATTTTTATACAAAGTTTCAAAAATTTTATGGTGAATGTTAATCGTTTGCACTTTTAGTACAGTTTTTTACCTTTATATTCTAGTTTGATTGGTAGTTTTCTTTTGTTAAGTGTAAGAATCCATTTCATGTTAAAAAAAAGTATATTTTTAATTGAGTCCTTAAATTATTCATCACTATTTGATTCGATTATCATCAATATATTTTAGTAAATAATAGATTTCTCAAAGGGCAATTGATTTGATAGTGTTACGTTGAAAATGTGGTCGCCGGAATATGTGTTTGGTAGTGTATGTCTTATATTTAAGAAAAAACCGACAAATAATCGAAAAAACCAAAAAACCGACAAAACCCGACATAAACCGAATCGAGAAAAAACCAACTTAATTGGTTTGGTTTGGTTCTAATATTTTAAAAAACCGACTTACTTGGTTTGGTTTCTTTTTAGGGGAAAACCGATCCAAGCCGAACCATGAACACTCCTACCAACACCCACCATCTGCACCACTCCCACCACCATCATTCTCAAATACAAACAACACTCATCCACCTCAACTATCACAACTAACCACCCCATCACCATCAACAACCATAACCGGCACTGCAAATCATTATTAACTACCACCACCCACCGCCACCTTCCTCAATCACAATTACCACCACCACCCACCATTATTAACTATCACCACTCACCACCATCATCCTCAATCATAATCGCCACCACTATTAATCACTACTAGCTACACCCTGAACCACAACCATCGACCAAACCTACCACTAACCAGCGCCTCTAGTCGGCATTCACAAGCACCACCGTTAGCCATCACCACCAGCAACTACCATATTTAAAAAAATTATATATTTTATTGATAGAATATTAGATTAATTAGTATTTTATTTGAATTTTATGTTTATTAATTTTCAAATAAAGATAAATTTTATACATTCAGATGTTAAAAATCAAACAGTCTTAATCATTTAGTATTCAGATCTTAATACACATCTTAATATTCATATGTGTATTCAGATTCAGATGTCTTAATCTTAATACACATCTTGATATTCATATGTGTATTCAAATTCAGACGTCTTAATCTTAAAAAAAACAAATGAGGCCTAGGAGTTTCCCACCATAACCTTAGAGCTATAGGACGATGTATGACGAGATGGTGGACATCTTCACCCCTTGCACATAAGCACCACTTGAGATAAGCAACCTTTTTTTCCGTCAGATTCTAAGACATCAAGATATGGTGGACATCTACACCCGACCACTTGGACATAAAGCACCAGCTGAGATAAGCAACCTTCCTTTTCCTCACATTCTAAGCCATCAAGACCACCCCATTCTACGGCTAGCCATGTCAAAAAAGCACCCTTTTCTTGAATCATTAGAAAACCATATCGAGCTACATGGAAAGACAACCTCCTCCATAATGAGAAGTTTTTCATAATAAGACTTAACATAATATACTCCATTACTCCCCGCACCACCGCTCCATACATTGTTGTAATGTGCTTTCATTGTGGAGCATACCAACCAGGCTTTGGAACTCTGCCACTTCCTACTCTTGAAAATGCTTTCTAAACCTCAAATTTATAACTACTTCTCCATCTTGTAGTCATCGGACCAGATGGACAGGGCATGAGTTTCAGTAAATATTTGGGAAATAATTCTCAAAATGTTATCATACACCACTTTTGCCCTAAAACTCATCCTCCTCCCATCCGTTACCTTGATTGACGCATCGGCAATAGACTCTTTCCATCCCTTAAATATCCCTCCATTGTACGCACAAATGAGGAATAGTGACATTTTTAGTCCTCCAACCCCCTTCCAAGGCCCCATATTTTTCCACTATTATCTTCCTCAAAAAAGAATGTTTTTCAATCATAAATCTCCATAACCATTTTCCTAATACGACCTTGTCGAACACCATTAGAGTCGATTGATTTTTGAACAAGTTAAGCTAGAATGATAATTAGGGGCAGGAATGACAGGATTATTTAGTTGATGTACTATAATATATGTTGCTCGGACTCTTTGAAAATGTTGCCGGGTGCGTGTCAGATTCTCCAAAAGCAGTGTATTTTTGAAGAATCCGACACGGGTGCGGCAGTATTTTGGAGAGTACGCGCAACATAGCTTATAATTATAATTAATTGGAAATGTTTGATTCATTGAACTAAAAATGAACATACGGGATATAATATAATACGATGTTTGGCTTTACACTAAATACGTTTGAATAAACTTTAATCCAATTTTAGTCTTGGCTTTCTAAAAAGTCTTTGGGAGAAGCGCTTTCGAGAAGCGAAAATGTGTCATTTTGCTATTCTATCCTGGGATAGTTATCCCACATAGAGTATGGTACAAACAGCCTCGGGGTAGCTTTTACCAGAATCAGTGTTATCAAAGGCGCGCATAAGCCCTGAAGCGAGACTCAAAACAAGTTGAGTACTTTGCCTCGCTTAACGGGCGCTTCAGTGTTGTCATCAAGGCTCTAAGGCATACTTTTCCTTGCTAACAAGAGTAATCCGGAAGACACAACACTAAAGAATTAATATTTCACTTTATCGTAAATTTTCTTCAATTTCTTTGACCAGATATTTGGTATTTATGCTTATAGATATTAGTCTTGGACTACACATACACATTTGTAGTTTTTCTCCATCTGCGCCTTTTTTCATTAAAGCGCACGCTTTATTTGCACTTTGCGCATAAAGCCCCAACAGACCTTAGAGTTTTTTTGCACTTTTCGCCTTTGATAAACTAATCCCGCTTTTTATCTCGAAATTATTCCTTTGTCCTTGTAATCAAACAACCCCGTAGATCTTCCAAGACCACTCCAACACTTAAGGGTAATAACGATCTCCCATCAACCCATGTGAAAACTTCCCTATCATCGAACCCATAGATAGTTTCTCTAAAGTCTTTCCAACTTTCACGTGACACTAGCCGGAGCTTGAAACAATGACATAAAATAAGTGCAAATGCTCGATAAAGTGCTCACGTACTTCTTTATCTCCTTAGGACAAATATCGTTTCTGTCCCACAAGCTTCTTCTCAATCCTTTGTAGTACAGGTTCCATGTTGTTTGATCCTTATTTGAAGCACCTACTGGCAAGCCAAGGTAGGTAGTGTGATAAGCCCCAGCCTTACAGTTCAAAATATGTGCTAACATTGCAACATACTTAACCTCTCCAACTAGTATGATCTCACATTTCCTGAAGTTGATCTTAAGGTATGACACTGCCTGAAACCATATTAACACATGTTCTTGGTGTTCCAGCTAAACAAACCCAATATAACCTTAACATAGGGCTTCGTATGTATATTTTTTGAATAAAGCTTTTCAAAATCTAATTATGAGTTCAGTTTAGCAATTATGTAGCAAACTAGCTGTTCCAACTCCAACCTCTTCTTCTTTTTTTCCCTTTTTGCAGCCAAAATGCACCAAAAATGCATAGTCTACTAATGCACGCACAGAGGTAAAGGTTATCCTTTCGTGACCTGTAAGTCAAACAAACTCAAGGCAACAAAACAGCTGAAATGCAAGGGAAAGCTGTACATACGTTCACTCTCCCCTACCCATCAGTAGTCGGAGAACACTTAATTTGCACAAGGTAAGATCTCTATAGAGCAACAATATTTCAATCTAAGGCTTCAAATTTGTTTAATTATCAAAAACAAAAATTAACTAGGGATTCAAATACAAACACATAAATAAGGAAACAGGTAGACGCAGAGATGGAGAGAGAGCGGTGTTAACAGTTACGCACAGTGAGTTGGAAGAGTTCGTGAGGGCAGAGACCGGAGAGGAAGAGACGGCAAACTTCACGGTCGTAGTACTTGCGATCGACCTCCGTTACGTCGCCGTTTCGGTTGGCTCCCATTAACACATCCAGTTGTTTCCTTATGGCGTCCATTGATGATGAACGCTTGAAATTCGCCGCTGTTCAGGCTTGAGTTGCTCAGTCTGTGGAAGGGTTTTTTTCTTCAGTCTTCCTCCTTGAAAGCTTTTCAGTTTTCCAGTGCGCTTGTTTTATAGGGTTTGGCAAATTGGCTGTTTTCTTCCTTTTTCCATTGTTCTTTCTTATATATTTTTTTCCTTTTCTTTTTGGTGAAAGATATATACTTCCCTTTCCTATCATATTAAGAGTGTGTTCGGAAAGTAATTGGAATTTGTGTAATTATTATGGTAGTAATATATAGCCTAGTAATTATACAGTTGTGTAATTATGACGATATGTTTGGTTGTACAAGTGTAATTACACAGGTTGATTAAATTTTAAATTAAGTAATTATCAAAACTTAAAATCTAATATAATAAATATATGCCTATAAATTTTTATAAGTATAAATAATATTATATTTGTATTTAAGATGTATATCTTTTTCGTGAATATACATTAATTAATAATTATATATTTAAACTAATATTATAAAAATAATTTATATATATTTTTTAAATTAATAATATTTAGTTTAGAAACTTACAAAAATTAAAAATATACTTTTGTAAGAACATCGTGGAATTCATGTTTGATAAGATAAATTAATATCTATAAATATAATGTTATAACATTATTCAAATGTTTGACAAAACTAATATATCAATTCTACTCTAACTAAAAAATGAACAACATGTAATGTGAGTCAATAATACTAAAACAAGTAAATTGGAACCATGAATATAACACATTTTCAAAATTCAAAAAAATAAAGAAAATGGTTTAAACATATGTCAAATTCCAACATAATAATAGTAAGTTCCACTGCAACTTAAGATTAGGAAACATGATAAGTTTATAACCACATTCAACAACGAAATTTTAATTTAATTACATCACTCATTATATGCTAAGTTTGTTAATGACTCACTATTTCTAATATTAGGAGGTGTAGTTTCAAAAATTGAATAATAAAATATAAAATATAAGCAATTACATAGAATCACAAAAAGTAAAGATAGAGAAATAAAAGATAAATAATGTACAAAGAAAAATATATTAAAAATAAAATTAAAAAGGTAAAATAATAGAAATAAAAAGTTATAAAGAAAATAAATTAAAATAAAAACAAAAAGGAAAGAAGCTAAAAAACAACATTGTAATTACACAGTGTAATTACCACCAATTCTCACCCCCCCTTGAGAATTGGAGAGTGTAATTACACCCGTCCAATTACACCCAATTTCATGCTAACCAAATAATTACTTGGCCAAACAAACATGCCAAACTATGTAATTACACCCAATTACACCCAAATCTATTTACAATGTGGCTTCCCAAACATACTCTAAGGTAGCAATACAGATTTTCATTGTAATAAATGTGGTACCTCGACATAACAGTACACTCTCTTGAAAATAATAAGGTGATTAAAAACTTATTTTATCCATTTTGATCTAAACAATGACTACCAATGAAAAATGAACATTCACAAATATTTCAGCTTTTAAATTAAGTTATAATTGACCATAAATAGCGGCCCAACCAACCTTTAATTGTTTAATCCAAATAAACTTTTTGTGATGTATAATAAAATATAAAACACATATTTTTTTATGAAATTCAAAGTACACTGTAATTATCAAATTTTTAGTGTTATTGATGTATATAAGGAGAACCAAATGATGTACTATTAATTTATTCAATCACCTCGACTGAATTGAAATTTTTCAATACGTAATGACAAAAAATTATAATGTTTCAGTATTATTGACTCTTGGTGTGTCTAATTAATTTAAAGTGAAATTATTAGTTTTCTTTGTTCTTTTTTTTTGGATGGGCGGGGGATGTGGAGTGGAAAGGGAGATTTGAGCTTTGTATTCTCAAAATAATAAATGGTTGAATAGTATTCTACCCTCAATCTAATTATCCATACTAGTTTTAGGATACACACGTTGCGCGTGTAACCTATCTCAACGAATACAAAATTTTAGAAAATTACATAAATATTATATTAAAATTTGTGTTTGAGTTATAAAATAAAAATTAACAAAAAATTAAGTTTCTAAAAATTATTGATCCTAATTAGCTAACTTCAACGAAGAAACAAACTCTCAAGACCAAAATACAATTGTTCTATTTCTACAATCAATAAGAAATATCATATCAATTATTTTTAACATATTAGAAAAGACTAAATTATTATTGCAAAATGTACTATTTAACTGCTATATTTTGATTAATCTACTATTTCTTCAATTTGGAGTGAGTTTTCTTTCTTTGTCCAAGCACATAACTATGCATTCGATATTTTCTTTTATCGAAGTAAGAGTCTAAGATTGTAATGGATTAATTACAGTTAATGAATTCTGAAAGAATTGTGTTAATCTATGAGCCAAAAATATGAAGGTTATGTTAAAAAAAATCATCTAAAATTTGCACGAAATCAGTTACACCCCTAAATAAACTGTAGTCTTAATTACCCCCGAAGTTGGCTATTTGATTGTTGTTACTCTTGGACGTTAACGTGGTAAAGAACGTAGATACATACACTTTCCTTTAGGCGCGTGAAAGCGACAAAAATTAAAAAGAAAATTAACTTTGATAAGATATAATATTTTTCAATCGTTAATATAATTCTTTATTTATTACAATATAAATATGTATTTTTTATTGCTTCATGTTAATATTTAAACGTATACTTTATCCAATTTTGTATTTTTAATTTCTTCTTTAGATATAGTGTCTATTTGATCCAATTGTATATTTTATCTTTTCGGATCAATTTTATAGAAACATTAGCTAAATAAAAGTAGTTTTAGCTAAAATAATAAAATACAAGTTGTGTATTATTTGTTATTTTTTTAGATGCAAATAACTATCTATTTTAATTATGTATTTTTATTTTTGGGTCAAATTAATAAAAAATTGGCTAGAACTTTGTTACTTTCTTGCTTAATTAAAAAGCTACGGCCAACATAACGGAGTTGTAATTATTTTCAGAAACTCACAATATTTTTGAAATGCTACCTACTATGAGGGTGTTTGGCTAAGCTAATAAGAGGGTGTTTGGCTAAGCTTATAAGCTGGTCAAACTGGCTTATAAGCACTTTTTGGCTTATCTACGCGTTTGGCAAAATTAAAAGTGCTTATAAGTTAAGTGCTTATAAGCCAAAAATAAGCCAAAAGCCATAAGTTGGCCTCCCTCAACTTATCAAATTTCAGCTTATAAGCACTTTAGGTTTGACCAAAATATTTACTATTCTATCACTAAAATACTTCTTTTTAAAACAAAACTCTTCGTACTTCAAAACCTATAAACATCCGTTGCCTTCTCCAGCAGTGCCTCTGCAACAGTATCGTTCTTCTCTGCTCGTGGGTTGTCCAGACTCTGATTCTCGCGCTCTCATTGTTGAAGGAAAGCTCTCTAATATCTTCAGCCGTGTCTCGCCTCTGCAACTATCATAAATATCTTATGGTAACGAAATTCACTTTGTCTTCTTAAGGCTGCTTTGTTTCAACAGTACTGATTGTTATGTTAATGCTACTGGATAATAACAGTAATATTTAAGGCTACTTTGTTTCAAAAGTGATTGCTATATTTCCCTGCTCGATCCTTTACAGTATTTATGTATGGAAATCTCTTCTTTTCCTTAACTCTCAAATACAACATCCTTATAGTTGTAAATCAGATACAAGTAGAGTACCTTCACGAGTCAAAGACCCATTCTTGTAGACCAACATTACCATGAAGCCTCGGTATCGACGGGATTAGAAAATACATGTCCGTCTAGGCTAGGTCTATGGTCAGTGGCAATCCCGAAGACCTGGATAATCGACATGATCACAGACTACTCATCTCGCTTTAAGGCGGTGAAGCACTTAACGAAAATCCTTCAGACTTTTTGCATCTCTTTGCCGCTTTAGACAGGGAATATCTCTGGATAAAAGGCTTGTTTTCTTGATTATGTCCTTGTCTGTGTATTTCACTTTTTTATGGGTCTGTAAGTTGATAGATAATTGACAGGTATAAGAAAAATCATGGTGTCGAAAAAAATTAATCTAAAGGAGTAACATGAAAAAAAAAAAGAGACAAATTACAAAAATTTTACGACAGAAGTACAGGGTAATGGGAGAAGTCATGATTTAGAATAATATAACATATGTCAGTTGTGTACTTGTACAAATTGAATTGCAGAAGCAATAGGAGGCATTCTTGTCCACGCAAATTAGACCTGCATCAAAAACTGCTTAGAATTTGCTGTAAAACAAACAAATGAGAATCCACATTAGAATAGTATCTATAGCAGGTCAGTTTAACAAATCTATAACATGAGTTATATAGTCTGTGTGTGCCTTTTAAGAGCACTAGTACCCAAGAGTGCTTGCAAAAGCATGAATAGCAGAAGAGTGAATTATTCCTAAATATATTTGAGCTTCAAAGGTTGTAGCTTCTGCTCATCCTTGGACTCCAAAGCAATGGCTCTCTACCACTTGCCTCTTTTTGTGTTTTCAACAGTTTATTATCATCTCTTCAATAATATTTTAAAATGTTGATCTTTAATTTTTAATATAATTAAGACATCTTTGAACTTGCATATTTATAATTTATAGTGATACTCTTTGACTTTTTGTCATAAAAATTCAGATTGTTAACATTCAATTATGGGGGAACGGCATAATGCTAAGTGGGACGAATATGCACATATTAATTCATTGAATTGTGTGAGCAAGAAGTTAGAAAAGGAAATAGGCCAAACACTTACTTGTCTAAAGATGGATGGAAGAATATGGTAAATGAGTTCAACAAGAAGACGGGACTAGAATATACTAGAAAACAAATGAAAAATCATTGGGATCACATGAAAGCAGAGTGGACTCTTTTTAAGCAGTTGATGAGAGGTGAGACAGGTTTAGGATGGGATCCTACAAGAAAAACAATTATTGCAGATGATGATTGGTGGGAGCAAAAAACTAAGGTACATTGCTTGCCCTTTTCTATAATTATTTCATAACTCTATTAATTGTTAGTTTCATTTGTTTGCTTAGAGTAATTTTAAATTTTTATTTACAGGAGAATTCTAAATACAAAAAATTTAGGAACAAAAGACCTTTCGTTGATATGGTTTCGTTACGATGCTTTATTTACTGATATCATTGCCACCGGAGAGAGAGCACGTGCAGCAAATCAAGAACAAGAGTCGGAAGTTGGGTTAGATCAAGATGATGATGGAGCAAATGATGTTTATGATAATGACATAGAACAATGGAATGATGAAAGAAGCGATGAAAGTCATGACTTGCAGAATATGGATTCAATTACGTTTCCTGAGCCATCGCTTAGAAAACGAAAGTCAATAGATGGCAGTGGCAGTAGTAGTCAAGTGAAAAAGCGCAAGACAAAAAATAATTCATTACCTCTAAAAGAGGAGATACATTCCATAGTTGAGTTCATATCTAACAACATCACATCTAAATCTTCAGAGCCCACCATTGAGCAGTGCATGGACATTTTAGAAAATATTCCTGGTATTCTTGGAGGGAGTGATATTTTTAATTGTGCTATGAACTTGTTGACAAAGAAAGAGATGCGACATGCATTTTTGAAGTTGACTACTAATGAAGCTAGGAAATCTTGGTTGGAGTACAACCACCGACGATCCTTCGTGCCGAATAATCCATCTAATCCAATCTGAGAAGTTGTTGATGATGCCTTACCCGTATTACATTAGCATTGACATTTTAACTTGCCCTTTAAACTATGTCCAGAAGGTTATATTTTCTTAATGTTTTGTTTCCTGTTTAGACATAATGGTGGTTTAATCATTTCTTGTTTAGACATTACGTGTTTTATCTTAATAGATGACTATACTATCAACTTTGAAGTTAGCATTTGTCATTTTTAATTCATAACAGTTTGTGTGTCTGTTTTATTTCAGTTTAATGGAATGCTGGAACAATGACTTGTTAAATGACGAAAACGAAGAAGAGGAAACTCAAGAAAATAAGGTACAAATGGCACTATGTCGAATAGCATGTAAGAGTATATTGATATATTATGAGAAATGCATTTTCAAGGAACCATGTTGTACATCTAAACGCACTGGGAATATATTTATCCAAGAGATATTACATGGAAGTGAGACTCGGTGTTATGAAAATTTTAGATTGAGGAAGTCAGTGTTTCTTGATTTAAGCAAAGATCTAACAGATAAATATGGTCTTAAACCCACGCGTGGGATGTCTGTATATGAGGAGTTAGGGATGTTCTTGATGATTTGTGCACATGGTGCCGGAAATCGATTGGTACAAGAGATTTTTCAGCATTCAGGAGAAACAATTCATAGGCATTTTCATAGTGTTCTAAAGGCTATTGGTAAGCTTGCAAGAGACATAATTCAACCACATCCAAGTTATAATGATGGTGCAGGAGATCACAAGCCATGTAATCAACGATATCTTCCTTTCTTTAAAGTAAGTGACATACTTAATAATTACATTATTATATTTTTACATTTTAACTCAAAAAATTATCTAATGTAAACTTATATTTAGTTTATGCATGTATATATTTTTAGGATTGTATTGGAGCACTTGATGGCACACATGCGAAAGCAAGATTGCCTCAAGGTCAAGAGATACCATATATTGGGCGTAAAGATTATCCTACTCAAAATATTCTTACTGTTGTTGACTTTAATATGTGTTTTACATTTGTATGGGCTGGGTGGGAAGGAGCAGCTCATGATAATCGTATATTTGGTGAGGCACTTCGTAAGCCCGAATTGAATTTTCCACATCCATCCGGGGACAAATATTATCTTGTTGATGCAGGATATTCACACATAAAGGGATATACGGCTCCATATAAAGGGGATAATGTGAGATACCACATTGCAGAATTTCGTCGAGGTGCGACACGACAATTGCGACACCAAATGGACATAAAGAAATGTTCAATTATTTGCATTCTTCTTGCAGAAACATTGTCGAGCGAACATTTGGGGTATGGAAAGCAAGGTGGTCTATTTTGCGAGATATGCCTTCTTATCATATTGACACTCAAAGAGATATCGTATTGGCTACACTGGCGATTCACAATTACATTAGAAAGAAATGTAAGGTGGACAATGCATTCCAAGAAGCTGAGAATGAGAGATATGTGTCACGTGTTGATTCTGATGTTGGAAGATCCACAAGAGTCGACATTGCAAATGAAGAAAATGTAGAAAATCAAGGAGATAATAATATTTGGATGGCAATTCGTGATCTGATTGCTCGAGATATTTATAATCGTTGAATGTTTTAATTTTATTTATTACAAACAATACATATTAAGTGCTTGTTTCAACTCTACAAACACTGTGTGCATTATTTAATATTTTTTCTTCTTAATTTTTGTTAATTTATACTCCACGCCTTCTAATATATGATTGTATACTTATCATAACATAAATTATATTTATAAAAAAGATATTATCTAACCATTTCTATAATTAAAATAACATGATAAATAAGTAGAATCTATGTAGAATCTAAAATTTTGAAGAAAATAACGTTTTTAGTAGTGTAAATTGTTATAAGGTCATTTAAGTCATTTTAACATAAAAAGAGCTTATCAGCAATTTTTAATCAAACAGTTTCAGCTGCTTATTATCAATCTCAGCACTTTTATCCAAACACGTAACTGCTTATTTTTTAAATCAATTTCAGCACTTAAAAGTGCTTTTCAGCACCTAATGCTTATCAGCTACTCTAAATCAGCTAAGCCAAACGGGCTCTAAGCTGGTCAAACTGGCTTATAAGCATTTTTTGGCTTATCTAGCGTTTGGTAAAATTAAAAGCGTTTATAATTTAAGTGTGCTTATAAGCCAAAAATAAGCCAAAAGCCATAAGTTGGTCTCACCAGCTTATCAAATTTCAGCTTATAAGCGCTTTAGGTTTGACTAAAATATTTACTATTCTATCCCTAAAATATTTCTTTTTAAAATAAAACTCTTCGTATACTCAGTTCTTCAACTGCTTATTATTAATTTCAGCACTTTTATCTAAACACGTAACTGCTTATTTTTTAAATCAGCTTCAACACTTTAAAGTGCTTTTCAACACCTAATGCTTATCAGCTACTCTAAATCAGTTAACCCAAACAGACTCTATGTTGTTTAAGTAAATAGAATAACTATTATAGTATATATTTTTTTATTTCTTTGACAAGCCCACACGTTTTGTTTCCCATTCAAAAAAAAAAAAAAAAAAAACTCAAAACTTGGATAACGACTTCTAAAGTCATCTAATTACTATTGTTTTATTGTTTTAGAAGATATTGAAAAACTCAACTAATAGTTCTTTTAAAAAAATTAATTTAAATAAGGAAAGAATGTTATATATAATTCCTACCAAGTATTAGGAGTTTTTACCTAACTCAAATAAGACGATTTAATAGTCAAACTTTAAATTAATTTGAAAAGTCTAAATATTAGAAAAATAATTAATGACTATTTTGTTCAGTGTGAACTCTATGTTAAAAGGGTAAAAAAAGGCGAACGATATTTTGCTAAGAGATTCGTGCTTTTAATATAATATATAAATATATAGATAGATATAGATAGATAATGTATGCACAACATACTCGTGCTTATTATTACTTAAAATGAAATTACTATTAACTCAATCATATCAGTATTAGCTTTCTGGGAGTTTCGGTTTGGATTTTTGGATTGCGTATTGAATTTCAAATTTAATTTTTAAAACTTTTGGATTTCGAATTGAATATTGGATTTGGTACTTCAGATTTTTTGATATCTAAAAATATGAAATATTTATACTTTATATTTAGTGCTACCCTAGACTTTAGTCAATTATCCATATGCCAATATTAATAAGGCCAATAGCCGACTCGTTAGACATTATCTCATATATTCAATAGTAATTACTAAGTTATTGTCATAATACTTTCTATTTCGATATGGTTTTACTATTGCTAATTTTTATTGGACTCCTTGGTAATGATTTCACTACTTGATTACTTTATTGAGATGATTGCGGTAAGAATAAAGAAACTTTTAGACAATTTGATATGAATACTTTATTTATATTTTCATTTTTGTAAGAAGAAGAAACAACTCAGCTTATTTTTTTTATATATGAACTGGCAACTATTTTATTGATTGAACTGAGCAAAAGAATGGACGGGAGACATACTGCCTTACCCTCTATTGAAATAATGAGAGATTAGCATTCTAGTCTCTATTCATCTATGACTATATATCTATAAGTGTGATTAGGGCTGTCAAATTTGGCCGAAGCCCAAATGACCCGTCCAACCCGCCCAAGGTTGGGTTGGTTATTGACCCGCCCATTTATTGAACTTAGCCCATCTTGACCCAATCCATCTCAAGTTGGGCTTTTTTTTAGCCTAAATTGATCCATGAGTAAGTTTGTCAAAATATCTTAGAAATAATTTTATTTTTTATTTAATATTTTAAATACGACCATAACAAAAACAAAAAAGCCTTATTTAGTAATTATACAATTTATAAGAAAATAACACATATTAATTAAAGTTTAATAAGAGTTGGGCGGGTTGGGTTATGACCCGAATTTTAATCCATCTTGACCCAACCCATCTTAACCTAAGTAACTTTTGGGCGGGTCATTTGACCCGTCCAATTATTGACTCAACACATTTTGACCCGCCCAAAATTGACCCAACCCGCCCATTTTACACGCTAAGTGTTAAGAAAAGGAAATGAGGAGGGCGTGCCACTGCCCACTTCTCATGTCATGGTGGATCAAAGTTAATTTCGGCTACCTTCAGGTGTCTCACTCGGAAAGATGCAAGCTCCCATCTATCTAATTTCATTAGCCCCTTTACTTGCTTAGGGAACTCTTCATACCTGGTGAAAATCAGGTGTTGCCGATGTATATGGCTTATTAATGTTAATTTATCTGCTACCCCATTAGCTTATTTGAAACAATGTTGCGCTCCAACATTCTCTTCGTGCACTAGCTTCTTGATCTCTTCGATCTCTTGTGCAATTCTCCATGGAGTAGCTGAGTTCTCTGTCAAGCAAAAAGTGACCAATTTAGAATCTGCTTCAGCTATTATACTGTGCATCCTTCTCTGTACACTTTGTTGCAAACCATACAATATTGCTTTACTTTTCGCTCAATTACTAGTGTCTGTCCCTGTGAAGCTTGAGTAAGCTAAGATGAAGTTGCCTGGGTCGTATCTAATAACTCCCCCCATACTACAGTTGCCTTCTACACAACTCCCATCGCTATTGAGCTTGGCAAAACTTATTGGTGGTTTGACCCACTTGACTAGTCTGTATGTCTTGAATCGTATTCGTTGGTCGAGCATCTTTTGTATTTGATTCCAAGATGTCTTCAACTTTACTTTTCCAAACTTTTGACCAGTCAAATTGGATAGTTTGTTGGAAATCAAACTTTCAGACCTACAAACTAAGGGAGTCCCGTTTTCATATCTGTATGCACATCTAGACCTCCACAATTTCCAAATTATCAGGGCTAGCAATAATTTCACCATAAAAGATGCAATTATGTTAGTAGTTTTGTGATTCCACCAGTTGTGCACTACTTGCATGAGTTGCATCCCGTCCATTAAAATGCCACAAGGTCCTGCAAATCTTTTCCACACTACCTGGGCAAAGCTTCCTGAACAAAATAAATGTTCAGCTGTTTTTAGCTCTATTGAGTGTGGGTAACAGCAATAGCATATGGCATAACGATTGTAGCCAATCTTAGCGATCTTCTCATCAGTTGGAACTCTATCCATTAGGCCCGTCCAACTCATGAATGCCATTTTGAGTGGGACATGTTTGTTCCATATTTTGGTAAAAATGGACAGTTGATTTTTCCTCTGTCTTAGACAATTCCATGCCGAGGCCACTGAGAATACTCCAGTTGAGTTTGTTGTCCATATTACCTTTTCAGGAACTCCTAGTAATAAAATCAAGTGTTGTTGGTCAACTATATTCTTAACGGAATATGGGATCTCATCCTCTATTTTTTCATATTGCCAACTGTTTTCTTCTAATACATCTCTTAGCAGTACATCCCTTGGCTTGACATCACTTGGCAGGTGTTTGTAAAGGGGATCTTTCTTTGTCCAGTCATTGTACCAGAAAGATAATTTTTCTTCTCTAGGGAGCCAGATAATATTTTTCTCCACTTTTTGTTTGATCTCACATAAAGCCTTCCAACTATTTGTGAGACCACAGGATGCACTCTTCTGCAGTATTTTGCTAGCATGAAGTCCTTCCATAATGAGTCTCCAGTCCTTAAGTTCCACCAAATCTTGGTCATGAATGCTTCTTTGACATCATGTAGTCTTATGAAGTGGGATCTTCCCTCCTGATATTGGAAACATAAAGCTTTCAAGGAGATCCAATGATGTCTATCATTTCCATCCGAGCCTCTCCAGAAAAGTTTGCAAGTATCTTTTCAATTTGTGTGAATACTCCTTTTGGTGGATTCATAGTGGTTATGAGGTGAATAGGAACTGCTTGCAATACTTGTCTTATAAGAATTGCCTTCCCCTGTAGATAGTAGTTTAGTCTGCCACCCTTTAACTCTATTTTTCACTTTATTGATTAGGTCCGAAAAATATGATATTTTTTGTCTTCCCACAAATAGAGGGCACCCCAAGTACTTCATGGGAAAGTCTTTGTTAGTGCATCCCAATAATATTGATCACTCTATTGGTTGCCCTTAAGGAAGCCCAGGTTGAAGCATGAAACAACTTTTATTCTTGTTAATCTTCTGTCCAAAATTCTCTTCATATGATGTTAATGTATCCATGGTCAATCTCAAGGTGTTTTTGCGCCCACTAATAAACAAAATTATATCATCTGCAAATGCAAGTTGATTCACTTGTGGTCCACTTCTCGCTATATAAAAGCCTCTATACCTTCGTCTATTTTGTATGTCATTCAGCATTATAGAGAGAAGTTATGCGCACAAAACAAACAATGAGAGTGAAATGGGATTGCCTTGCCTCACTCCATTATGTGACTTGAAGAAGCCAAACCTTTGACTATTTGCTATTAAGAGATCAATTACTTGAGATATGGTTGAAGATAAATCCACCAATTCCTTGAGAACCCAAATTTTTGCATTAGTCTGCACAAGTATGACAGTCTATCCTGTTGTACGCTTTGGCCATATCGAGTTTTAGGACTACATTGCCTCCCTTTTTTGGTTTAGCTATATCCTTTATAATTTCTTGTGCAAGGAGAACGTTCTCTGAGATTAGCCTTCCCTTTATAAATCCTGACTAGTTATTGGAGATAATCTTAGGCAGAAGCCGAGTGAGTCTGGCATTTAAGATCTTCGCAAAGATCTTACTTGAGACATTGCACAGGCTAATTGGTCTTAAATCTGACAATTGTTGTGGGAATTCCACCCTTGGAATCATTACTAGGAAGGTATGAGTAAAGAATCTCGGGACGGGAGCACCTTGAAAGAAGGCCAACACTGCATTATATACATCCTCTGCGATCACTTTCTAGCAAGTTTGATAAAATAGAGCATTTTGGCCATCCGGTCCTGGAGCACTGTCTATGCTAATCGAGAACACACTACTTTCTACTTTCTCCAACGTGGGAATAGAGCATTTCATTATCTTCGTCAATGATTTTTATTGTTAGGTAGTTTAGTACTGATTGGTCAAGTGAAGCCTCACCATGATTGAATATCTTTTTGAAAGTGAACAATAGCAGTCGTAGCAATGTCTTACTCTCCTTCTCTCCATACACCATTGTCATCCTTTATCTTTTGAATGTTCTGTCTTTTCCTTCTTCCTTTAATTACTCCATAGAAGAATGTTGTATTTTTATCCCCGTCTTTTAGCCAATTGGCTTTAGCCTTTTGCCTCAGGATTGCATCTTGGATTTTTAAGTATTGAATTAATTCTGCCTTTAGCTTATTTAATTCAGCCCTCCTCTCACCCGTGTTGTGCAAAATCATATCTTCCTCCATAGTAGATATTTGTTTTTCTAACTTCTTCGGCTCCTCATAGATATCGCCAAAGGCTTCTTTGAACAAAGTACCGAGTCTTTGGCAGACCTTATTCAATTTTTGATGTAGAATCCACATAGGTTGCCTCTAATAGGTTCATCCCACACCTCTTGAACCACAGAAATAAAGTCTTTATGTTCCAGCCAAAAGTCTAAGAACTTGAAGTATTTTGGGCCAGTAGTGTCTGAGCTTCTCCTTTTGAGCAACATAGGTGTATGATCTGAGCAATCTCTTGCCGACTGCGTGATTGTTGTCTCATTTTGTGTATTTGTCCATTGTGAATTAATGAACAATCTATCGATTCTTCCAAATAGTTTTGATTGCACCCTTGTTGTCGCACTAAGTGAATTTAGCTCCACAATACCCTGCATCTTGAAGACCACAATCATCTAAACAATTCATGAATCCAGGCTCTTGTTCAAGTTATATGGCAATCCCCCACATTATTCTTCTGCACTAGGAATAACATTAAAGTCGCCTACAACTGCCACGGTCCATGTATGTTATTTCTCCAAGTTCTCAATTCATCCCATAATATTTTTCTCTCCCTTGTAGTGCATTTAGCATATACTATTGTCACATGTGTGGGTGTGACTAACATCGCAATGGTTACCTGAAATGTCACTTGATGTTCGGAGTCCTCCAATATATTTACATGTATATTTAATGACCAGAAAAGCCAAATTTTGTTGTTACAGTTGCAGTGGCAATGTTGCAGCCTCAGTTGTAATCTGAATCTTTTGATCTATGTGGACCTTATCGTAGGTTCTTGTAGTGCGATAAAAGATAATTTGTATTGTTGTTGTAGAAGTTTTAGCCTTTCAGAGGCTTTTTGGGACTTCATGCCCCTAATATCCCATGATAGTGAACTAAACATGGGACCACTAGGGATTTGGTCCTTTTTGTTGCGCCTGTGAGCCCTTGGTGATGTTCCTTTCTTCACATCACTTGAGCTGTGAACACCTCTAGGAGCGAGGTTGTTGAATTGTGTTATTTTGCCTACTCCAGTCACTGAAACTTCTTCCTTGTCAAAGTTCAGTGCTCTCTGGGGTCTTCTTGCATTCTCGTCATCAGATCTAACTTCCCCCTCGTTATCGGATAGGTTAGCCATGTCTATGTCTTGAGTTTCTAAGACAATCTCAGAATCCAATGTATTCGTGCCTTGCCTCACTTTTACTTGAGGTAAGACCACCTATGTGTTCCGCGTTGGAGATTTTCCAGGTGTGAGTTCCTAAACCTCTATTGCCATAGCAGTATTTAGTCCAAGTTCCCCTTTTACCCTTGAACCTCAACAGGTCTTAGGTTCAATGCGGGCAATTGGTCATATCCTTCCAATCCGGGAGGGATTTCCAGGTCTGGCAAACTTTGGGGAGGAATTTTTGACTGAAATCTCCTCCGTTTGGTTGATAGTTTCTTCGCTTGGTTCTCGTTTACGCTTATCAGTCCTACTTTTTCACCAAGCGCTTGCTCCTCGAGATGGCTAGGAATTGAGAATGCAGTTTTTTTTATTTCTTCACCACCTTTGTCGTGCCAGTTTCTTATTATTTTTCTTTTGTTTTTTCGCCTTCTTCAACCTCTTCAGTCCAACTCTTGGTTGCACTTCTTTGGTTATTGGATCCTCCTCTACCCTCATTTCTAGTTCCATCTCCTTTTAATCTTCAGCAATTTCCATCGTGCTAGCATACATTACTTGGTTCATCATTGTAGCAGCCTTGGATAAATTATTTTTTGTCGCTCCTTTGTCTAGTGCCCCTTTCTTATTGTTGTCACTAGCCTTCTTTTTGTTGTTTCTGGAATTTCTTACTTCGGTCCAGCCCTCCTCATCTTGTTCCATTGTTTTTTCAATATGTTTAGCATTCATCGATCCTGATATCTCTTGCTCATTCGCTTTTAGTTGTTGCATCCTGCAGTGCGTCAGCGTGCCCTTGAATTCGACAGTGGAAGCAAAAATCCGGCACACTTTCATATTCAATTTGCTGATTGAACATGTCAATTTCTCCATTGTAATCCACAAGAGCAACCTCTATTTCCTTTAATCTTGGTCTTGATAAGTCTATTTCCACCCAAGCCTTTGCCGTCGTCGGCCTAGTTCTTGCCAATGTATCTTTGTCCAGAGCAATCAAAGGGCCAATAGGATCCAGTATCCGTTCCATTGCTGCCATTCATGATAGTGCCAGGGTAGTTCAGGGTGCGTCACCCAAATCGGAGCCAATGTAGATTTGTCATGAATTCAAATATTATTAGGGTACATAAGAAGCACGTGACTACTAGTGCATTCTCATATATACACACATCAACCTGGCTGAAAGGGTACGCAAGATTTGGAAAAATCCTAACTATCCAAAATATTTTCTCTCTACACTTTCTCTCTTTATCTTCTTGTCCTCTTCTTCCTAATTCTTTCGGAGTTCAACATTGGAGCTTGAAGCTCATTAATGGAGTTTTAGTTTTGAATTAGTTCTCTTTCATTGTAGCTATTGTTGTATTGAATCTTACAAGTAATAAAATTCTCATTTCTGCGCTAATTCTTTGACTTCGATTACAAATGGTATCAAAGCAATATATTGACACATGTGGAAGTTGTACATCCATGGTGGAAGAAATTCCATATGAGGAATATACAGAGCAATTGGAGAATTGACTTCAGTCTCTAATGGCGCAGAGCAAGTAGTATTTTGATAGAATGAATAGAGAATCAGATAGACTCAATCAGAAAATGGACAAAATCTTGGAAATGCTTGGAATTACTCTGGAAGATAATGAAAGTAAATGAAAGGAATATTTGGGTGCGACAAGAGAACTGGGTGATCAAGAGGTTCCGCCAAGTGAAGTCGTCTTGAGACTAACAGGTGTTATCTTGCAACAGAAATCACCAAGGAGTGACGTGCCTAACGAACCTATTGTAAAACCCATAGAGCTTGAAGATGCCTCCGCTAGAAAATCTTTAAGCCTTAAGAACATTGACGCAGGCAACGAGTCTCTGATACTTCCACTTGAAATTGTAGGGAAGTTCAATGAGCCGAATGAATTTGTTGAAACTGAGGTAAGCCAGTGTAGAATCTGTCATGTTTTATATGGAATGAGTTATTAATTAGATGATCCCCTTAAGTTGTTCGACGAATTGCTCGAAATAAATCTTATTACTTCGGTTATTGTTTTTTCTGTCAACAACGAAAGGCATATGGATGATCACCTTACTATAATCTTTGATCCGGGAGGTATGATATTCAATTTTTTACATCAATT